ACCATGCCTCTGCTACCTCATTCCATAGGGCTTGGGCCTTTTCGCATTCTAAGAAGCAATGTTTGAGTGTTTCCGTAGCTTGTGCGTTGCAGACTTTGCACCACGAGTCTTGATCTGATCTTCCTTCCTTCTTTCATCTTCGTGCTAGCCAGTGGTTCACCGGGACTGCTCTGTAGGTAATGAGCCAGAGTAGGCTGGCCAATTTGACTGGCCTCGTGCAGAATATTGAATGCCAAGAGGGTTTGAAGATCGCGTTGGCTAGTGAGCTTTCTTCCTTTTGCCATATTTTCATTACTATCTCTGATGTCGTGATGGGAGTGGAAAACAGCTTGTAGCTCGGTTAATTTGCATCTACGTACTGCGATGTGTGTGGTTTCGGGATTGCTCCACGACCATTCGGTAGGGTCAATTTCGAGGGGGCGGATGTCCAAATCAGGCCTATATACTCTATTTTGGTCGCTTTCAATTACTCTGATGCTTCTTAAATTATTTATTTTGAAGGTTCCCTCTGCTCTGCTTTCCTTGTTGAGGATGCTCACCGGATTGCCTGGTTCCTCCAAGGGGAAGATGCTGCACGTTACCCATTCGTTGTTGTGCGATTCAGTGCTTAGTATTCTTAGTATTTCTGTTATATTGGACTGCTTCTTCTGACTGGCCCAATCACCAGCTACCCATTTTTGTTCCGATTTATGTATGTGTCGCCATTCAATTGGGATGCTTTCAATCATAGTTGATAGGTTGGCTTTTAAATTGCGGTTACCTTTTAGGATATTTCTGAGATCTTTTTCTTCCTTCAAGTTATTTGTTGAATCGTTCCACAGATGTTGGATTTGCCATATGCCTTTTTCTAGCCAATGTCCCCATTTGGCGCTTGCTTTGGAGAGAGAGAGGCTTTCGCCTTTGTCATCTTTGATCCAGGGGTTGCCCAAAATGGGCTGTCTTAGGACTTCATCTTTCCTTCTTGGGCCGAGATTGCTTTCTGATTCCCTATTCTATCCTATTCTATTCCAAATTTCCAATTCCATTCCATTGTAATTTTATTTATTTATTTATTTATTTTTTACAAAAAAACTCCCAGCCCCTTCTATTCTGGGGGGCATCAGTCCGGTTGCTCATCACCGGCAAGCAAAGTTTTTTGAAACAAGCAGTGGGGCGGATTCAACAGAAAATATAGTCAGCATACCCTTGTGGCTTGAGCCGCGTAGCCAATATTGTCCTGCAAGTCGGGAAGCTTACTAGCAACAACCAGGCACACTGCAGGACAATCCCTTAGGGGTCAAGGCATCGGGGGGGGGGGGGGGNCTTTCCTCTGTCTCCTGGGTTTCGCCTGCGTCGAGTGCTGTTGGTGGTGCCCGCGGCAACCGGCGGGGGTGGGCCCAGGGGGGGGGGGGGGTGTGGTCCTAGCAGCCTGTCGGGCCGCCTGTTACGTACTCGCACCTTCCCACCATGTCTACCTGAGCCCAGCATTTCCTCTGCCTCCTATCCCCATGTCATCTGTATCCCTGAACCCTTCTGTCCTTGGTATCCTACCTCTCCTACCATCAGGTTTTTCTTGGTTTTAAACCTGCGTTCCTATCCCTAAACCTTAATCCTATCTACCTATGCTTGATCCTTTGTAGTATTTGCACCGAAAGCAGCCGAAGAAGGCCGAAAAAGGTACTACCTTGGGTCCTGCACTATACATGTCTGCACGATTGCTATGTTCTAAGTTCTAACCCCAGCATTTTCTTGACCCCTTTTACTCTCTTACAACCTTCTATAGGCGAACACTCCCCCTCTTGCCCCCTACTATAATGCAACTATTTCCCTCCCATTATCGGAACCTTCCATACAACCCCGCCCATCCCTCCTAACTATGGTTCACATCGTTTGAGGTCAGTCCTCGTCATCTTGGGGACTAGGTACATGGCGCATTAAGATCGGGCCAAACCGCATTCAGCCCGTCTGGGGGTCGCGGTTGAGCAGTTGCGGGTACGGGCTCCATCTTTCCCAGAACGCTTGTATCCCTTGCTCCACCGTGTGGCTGCTCCTCCGGAGGTCGGCGAAGGGCAGTCCAGCTATTTTCCAGCGCCCTCTCTTGATACACTTGGAGCGCTGGGGCTGTTCCCTGCCTGCATCGTTCATTTTGCAGGGTCCGCAGGGCCCATAGTCTTGCTGCTCGTATTATTTCTGCAGCCAGCATGTCTTCCTTTCTGGACCTATCCACTTTCATCACGGCCCCCAAGAGGATGGCAGCGTCGTCCATCTCTGTGACATCCAACAGTGATCCGTCTGCCACGTCGTGTGCCCACCATTCCCAGAATGCCCCGACTATCGGGCACCACACGAACAGATGGGGGATAGACTCTACTTGTCCGCACCCCGCAGCACAATCCTGGTCCTTGTGTTGGCTCCTGAGTGCCAGCCATTGTGCTGTTGGGATCGCCAGGTGATAAATTGACATAGCAGCGCAGCCTGTTTCTGATCTGGCAGGGCTGGCAAGATGGCACATTGCTCGTTCCACTTCTTCTTCGTCCACCTCTTGAGGTATACGTCCGGAAGCCAGCTCCTCTTGGCCCAACGGTCCCTAAGCTCTCCGCTAATGTCCACCTGTTCCAACAGGGAGTTGTATGTATTCTTCGTGGTCAGATCTGAGCGGGACTTCTCTCGTCTGCATCCTTTGGGCCGGCCAAGCAGTGTGTGTAATCTGACTAAGCTTCCCTCCGAACCGTGCGTGCAAGATTTCCAAGCATACGGCTCTCCATCAGTTTGGCAAGACTACTGACTGTTTCCCTTCCATTTTCATGTACTATGGAAACTCTGACGCCACACTTCGTGCTGGCACACGGACAAAAAAGTTGAAGGCGTTCCCGAATTTTCTTGGTAGAGGCAACTTCTCCCACTCCCTTGGATCCCACGTGAGGTCCCATCTCCTTGTTGCCAGCCAGTATGGCAGGTAGCATCCTTCCCCTTCCCTCCCTCCTTCACACACCGCAATGGTTTCAAACAGATTCCTGTCCACCACCTTGGGGAACCCCCCTTCCTGCCTACTAACCTCCTGCAGCGGAGCCCCCAGTCCTTCATAACCCGAATTTGCCACCCAGCCGATGATTTCCAGTCTCCCTTCCACACCACCCGTTCTATCCTGTATACCATCTCCGCTCTCCGCAGTCCCCTCACTCTTAACCACTCTCCCGTTGTTACTTCATCCTTCCTGAGAAGCTCCACCAACTGGGGAGGGATGTCGTCTCTCAGATCTTGCAGTCTTTGCCTTCATCTCATCCGCCCCTGCAGAGCTTCCACCATTGTCGTTGTCAGAGCGCCAGTCCTTTCGCCGTTCATCCCATAGATGGCCCACCTTATAGATTCCTTGCTCGGCCCACTTCCATCCGAATGCCCCTCGTGGGCCTTGCCAGGGGTAGGGATCACTGGCCTTGTCGCAATGGATCTATTATCAAACAGCAGCTGGTTGTAGACAGCATCGGCGGTTGCTGGTAGGCGGCATCTTAACCTAATCTTCTTTCACAGTGCCAATTTTGTTGCCCACACCATGTCTCTGCGAATGTGGCCTATTGCTGTATTGCTGACCAAGCCGAGGTCGATCGTCTCTGCCGGCACTTGGAGTGCATAAGCCAAGTGGGTTCGGGGGACTTCCTGCCAGACGCCCCCTACAGTGCCCAGCAAGTACTAAAGCAACTGGCGTGACTACAGGGCAGTAGTCTGCTGTCTTGGATCCAGTAAGCCCAGTCCACCAAACCTTCTTGGCTGGATGAGCTTGGTCCAAGCGACTCTACAAACGCAGTCCTGTGTTTCGGCGTCGTTCGACCATAGGTGTGGATGTATTGCCCTCTTTATATATCTGAAGGTGCGCTTACCAGGCATGTGCACTGCACCCGCGTACCACAGTACATAATTCTTGATAATGAGGGCCTTCCCAAATACCCCCATACTGCCTCTCGCGCTCCACGCCTTGCGCTCCTGCGGGTACATTGCCTGATAAGTGTCTGTACAGTCGAGCCCTGTCATCCCGCTGATCAACACCATCGAGTCCGCATCGACATGCCTCCCATTTGCAGATCCAGTGCCGAATTCGTGACAGAATTGAAGTCCCCTGCTATAATTAGCTTGTCCGCCTCCGGTACCAGGGCCTGCAGCTTTCCCACATTCTGCGTCGCAACCTCATCTCTGTCTGTCCATACACTGTTACCAGGCCCCAAACTTCCCCCCCCCATTGTATAATGACCCACGCCCATCGCCCTCGCAAGTTGTAGTACCAGTCGCTGACCTCCCCCCTAAAGTGGACCCTGTGCTGGAGCCCACACTTGGCGTCCCTTCCACCACAGCGTCGGCTCCTCTGTCTTGTTTTCGGCCAACTTGGTCTCTTGTAGACAGACCACGTCGATCTGTTCCGCCCTCACTTTTTTGGCCATTTCCCTGCGCTTGGGCAGGAGCGACCTTGGCCCCAGCCTCTGACGTTACCTTCAACTGATTGCAGTGTTTGGACAACACCATTCTTCACCCTCCCCTACAGTCCCCCCCACTACCCCTCGTCCCTCGCCAGAACTTCTACCCTCTCACCTATTTACATACCGTTTCCATTTCACCACAGCTACCTGTTTTTGTTGCTGGGGGGGTGCCACTCACCCTGCAGGATAATGTATCCCTATTCCTTACCCTCTCTTGCCCATATCCCATCTCCCCTCAGGAAGTGCACGTTCCACACCTGATCCTCCTGCGGCAGACACGCATTGACGCTGTTAAGGATGGCAAGGGAGGTTGTGTGTATAAATGGTAGACTTGCGGTAGCACGGTGGGGCTGAAGGCTTCCAAAAAATCAATCCACTGCATACTTCAACACTGCAGCCTCGGATTGCCCGGCTTTTGGGGCCGAACTTCCACGAAATATATTATGACCACATACTCGTTCCCCTCCAGCGTTCGTCTTATGAATCTGAAGTAGGATGTGCCGGGCAATGGGAAGGCCTCATATTTCACCCCCACCCATTCGGCCACATGCCTCAGGACCTCTTGCTCTTGCGGCAGCTTGTTCACACTGAAGATCGGCACCTCATTAGGGCCGTCCATCAGCAGCTTAATCTTGCTCATTTCCCCCCAATCGTGATGGGGCAGACGTAACATTCGCCCTCACGCAGGATGGTCTCCAAGCCGGTCTTTGATCGCTCCTGCCTCGCCAACTCCGTCAACGGGTTCTGCTGCTGCCGGGCCTCTGTTTCTTGTCCCAGACCCTCTCCCGTAGTGGCTTCACTGTCTAGTGGTGCTTGACTGTCTGTTGACGGGTCCTGATGTGCTACTTGTTCCCCCTCCTCTTGTCCGTCCCCTTCATCCAGCCCCTTGTAATTCCCCTCCCCCTCTTGCTCATCGTCCTCCTCTCCCTCTTGTTCTTCCTCCTCCATTCGCTCCTCCATACCTTTACTTCCGATTTCCATTGTAGCCGAAGATTCGCCGTCTTCCGTTTCCATTGTGGCCGAAGAGTCGCCATCCTCCTGATCAGTTGCGGTCTTTGTGATATCCTCCACTGGCATTCCGAAGCTTGTGTCCCTCGGGATGGGGGAGGGTGAGGGCGACGGTGAGATGTCCCTCCGACCCTTCCCCCCCAACCGGTATCTCGGCTCATAACCCACTGTATTCCATTGTGATTCTATTCTATTCCAGTTCTTTTTATACCGTATTGGTAGCATCCTAATTATTCCAGTTCTTTTATGTTCCATTCTATTCTTTATATATATGTACGTGAGAGGCACGGTGAAAGGGGAGTCAAAAGAAGAATGAGTAAAATCAATGGTTTCACTGTGCCCTTCATGTTTGTCTTGTTTTTTAATTTTTTTTAAACTTTTTTTTCATTTTTTTTTTGCTGTTTGTTTCGCAAATTGCGCTCTTTTAGTTCATAGTTATGTGACAATATATATATAATACAGCACCAGGACTTCCCACGAGGTCACCCATCCCAGTACTATTCCGGCCCAACAGAACTGTTCTATTCTATTCTATTCTGCTCTGTTTTGTTTTGTTCTGTTCTATTCAGTTCAGTTCGGTTCAGTTCAGTTCTGTTCGGTTTGGTTTGGTTCTGTTTGGTCCAGCTCTTTGTTTCCAGACGCAGCTGTTTCCCTTGCTGGTTATTTCATTCTTCGTTCGAATTGCATTTAGTGTCATCAATTCATTATGTGCTTCCTTGCCTCCATGCTCGCCCAATACAATTTGCAGAGGGTGATGATGTCAACAATGGATGGCATGACGAGTGAAGCCCCTTAGGGCTACGTAGACAATAAGTCAAACCTGAATTCAGGAAACACTGTTGGATACCATGCAGTGCGACCTATGCTGGTATGGGGATCACCGAAGGAACAACATCAGTCGCATAGGCACAATGAAGAACAACATTAGTCACACAAGTGCAGTGGAAAACAACACACACTGATTGAAGTTGCACCGGCCCTCAAAAGCAAGGTGGTGTCTCTTCACTCTCTGCAACACCACTCGGTAAGACCATCTCTCTCTCTCTCTCTCTCTCTCTCTCTCTCTCTCTCTCTCTCTCTCTCTCTCTCTCTCTCTCTCTCTCTCTCTCTCTCTCT